GCTGCATTTACTGAATGTATTTCAATTACATTTCCAATGGTAACAGGTTATATAATATATTAAACAATTGGTCCAAGAATGTGGCTCTAATATAGCTTTCTTGAGATTTTCACTCCCGCCTGCCACTCTGTACCATATTTGACACAGACATACTGTGTTTTGTCTTAATATGTTGTACAAATTGTTGTTTGTTTATTTATAACATTTTTGTTAAGGAAGAGTGGCTTCCTCTGACACAGGTGCTACTGTACCTAAAAGAAGTCGACACAAAAATTTTCCAAAAAAAAAAACTGTCGGATAAACACCTATTTTGTTTATTTATTTTATATTTGGCTGAGACACAAACGCCTTGCCATTCCTGTTATTGATTTCTACAAAACCTTAATTTACTCTTCTAGGCGTTTACTCATACAACTAGCCCAATCAGCTATATTAAGACCGGTACTGTTGGAATATGGTTTATTTATTTATTTATTTATTTACACACTTTTTTGTACTAACTGGTACAAACGGCGGGCTTAATGCCATAAGGCATTTTCTACCAGCCAACCGGAAAGTTAGTGAAAGAGAAGTGTAGGTGCTAGCTATATAAGGATTATATAATATGTATACATACATTATGATAACAATTATTAACTTACAACAATAAATATTATAATAGGTAAATATATATATATATATATACGTACATAAAACGGAAATATCTATCAAACGTTATCCATACTACTGATCATAAGACGACGAATTAAAATATTCCTTAACTTTAGCTTTAAAAATAAATTTATTCGGTGATTTTCGAATTTCACGAGGAAGGGCGTTCCAGAGTCGAGCAGCTGTAACAGCGAAGGATTTAGAGAGAAAACCGGTACTGTGAGAAGGAATAAGCAACGTAAGATTACCAGCAGATCGAAGATTGCAGCAATGAGAGGTACCCAGGTACTGAAATTTAGATTTCAGATACGCTGGGGCAAAAGGATCGTTAATGATACTATAAAGCGTACAGAGGATCCGAAGATTCCTCCGTTGGGAAATATTCAACCAGTTTAGTTGAGAGCGATATGATGAAATATGGTCAAACTTTCGAACACCATAAATGAAACGAATACATTGATTAAGGAGGCGATCCAATTTGCTAAGAACCTCCATGTTTGCATCTGAGTAACACACATCAGCGTAATCGAGATGTGGAAGTATAAGTGATTGAACTAAAAGTTTTTTAGTATAAGGTGGTAAGAAATTTTTAAATCTATATAATTGTCTCAAGTTGGAATAAACTTTACTGCTGACTTCATTAACTTGCGCTCGCCAGCTGAGCGAGGAATCAATAGTTAACCCAAGATTCTTGACTTTTGGTGAAAAGGGAATGACTTGATCATTGTACATCACGGGCATCACGCAATTATAATCTATTTTGCATAACTGGCGTTCGCTCCCTAGAATTATGGCTTGGCATTTGGTGGGATTTACAGTAACACCGTACTTTTTCGACCAGTTGAAAATATGCTCGAGATCAGAGTTAATCTGGGTAACAGCATCATGTAAATGCGCTGCTTCAGCCTGGGCATACAGCTGCAGGTCGTCGGCATACAGATGGTAAGAGGAGCGAAGATTATATGTAACAGAATTTATGAAAAATGAAAAAAGTATTGGTGACAGTATTCCGCCTTGCGGAACACCGGTGGCCAGATCGCACCAATTGGAGAACTTTCCATCGACACGAACCGCCTGCCGGCGACCACGAAGATAAGAACAGAACCAATTCAGTGCTGAGGATGAAAATCCTAGGTGAGATAAGATGGCAAGAAGGATGTCATGGTCAACAGCATTAAAAGCGTTGGAGAAGTCGATCAGTACTAATACTGTCACCCTGCCATCCCCCATACCATGTCGCACATCCTCGGTAACCGCTAATAGAGCAGTAGTGGTACTATGACCCGGCCGAAACCCCGATTGGAACTTATTCAACAGGTTGTTCTTATGAGCGAAGGTGCAGACTTGTTTAAAAACAATAGTCTCTAAAGTTTTTGATAAAAACGGCAAGATAGAAATAGGCCGGAAATGATTCGGTGAACTGGGTTTACTAATTTTGGGAAGCGGGATAACAAAAGCATTACGCCAACAGATAGGAAATTCCCCAGATAGCATCGAATGATTAATAATAAATGTCAGAATGGGTACAATCTGGTCCAAAACATGAAATATCATGACACGGCCTATTTCATCACAACCTACTGCCTTAGATTTAATCTGATGTAAAACCTTACATACCTCATCCTCAGCGACCGAAGAAAAAGATAATGTATCAGAGTGAGTTGAGGCCATGGAAGATATTTCAAGAAGAGTACTAGCTTTAATGTGAGATGGCAATACAGAAGATGAGGAAAAGTGAGCATTAAGTTCGCTTAATAAGGGCATATCAATACTAGGCTGTGTTTTGCAACTTGCAAACCCAAGAGAGTGAATAAACTTCCATGTCTCTGATTGAGAAGCAGTTAGTAAGAAGTTGTGAAAATGTCGGCGTTTAGCAGACCTCACCATCTGATTGCAACGATTCCTGGCTTTTTTGAATGCAGCCCAGTTTTGAGCACTACGACATGATTTATAAGAAACAAACGCTCTGTTACGTCTATTCATTGCCAACCGAACATCGTTATTCATCCAAGGCGCAGGGGGTCTCTTCATAACGACTTCGTGCAATGGTGCAAGTTTGTTAAAGATATCTATTATTTTTGAGCTGAAAACTGAAACCATGTCAGAAACTGTACTCAATGTGGTTACCGGTGACCAGTCGATCAAGGAAAACTCATTTATTAACCTGCTCCTATCCAAGTTTGCTAAACTGCGTACTGCTACCCTGCGGGCCACCCGTTTCGGAGGCCTGATTTTGTATGAGACGTAAAGCAGATCGTGATTGGAAAAACCCGGCGCCGGGAGTTGGCCGTGATTAATAATATTTTTAGGGCAAGATGTTATAATTAAGTCAATCCATGAGTCGGCTGTGGCAAAATTTGTATGCGTAGGCCCAAGAGGAAGAAGAGAACAAATTAGTAGACTCTAGGATTGAATGTAATTTACGCGAGTGGTAAGTGTCTTTCATTAAGTTGGTGTTAAAGTCTCCCATAATTAGGAAATGTGTGTACTCGGAGCAAAGAGATTCGAGAATATTTTCCAAACTGAAGAAATAGTTAATAGTGGGGGGAGAGTAAGCAACTCCGAGTAACGCCTTAATTCCCCTTAAATTAACTTCGAGGAACAGTGACTCCATATCGTCACTTAGGGGGTTCGAGGCAAATATCATTTTATATGTAATGTCGCAACGAAGGTAAATACAAACACCCCCACCGCGTTTTTTTACCCGATCGTTTCTCACAAGAACATACCCCGGCAAACTATACGATGTTGAATTTAGGTTAGGCTTAAGCCAAGTTTCTGACACTAACAAGGCATGAACATGATCTACGGAGAAGGTATCTAATAACTCGCTGTGATGACGCGGAATGCTCTGGGCATTGATATGACAAACATTTAAACAATTATCTTTATCGCCAAGAAACGCACAGGCTAACTGGTCCTTGAGTAAATGCATCCCAGTATCTAAGGAACAAAAAGATAAGCTCGAATCACTAGCTGTCTCAAAAATATCAGTATCGGACATCGTAACGAATGACTATATGTAACTATATATAAACAAAAATAAAAATAATACAGCAAGACAATATGCTTAAAATATAATATAAAGAAGAACGTGAATATATGTATATAATAATAAAAAGGGGATTTAAAAATTAATGAAAAAACCGTCACATAAACATCATCCCTCGGGTTGACTGCCAGAAAATGTCATTTACATCATTATATGTGTTACATCTACATAAAAGTAAAAGCTTTTCATTTAGACCATCAGAAATATTTGTTAACTGATACAATATGAAATCGTATCGTATGGTAAATAATTATACAACAGGATCTATAACGAAAAACAATATCCAGAGAGAATCACATCTAAAACAATTACTATCTGGCTGAATCAACTGAACCCATGAGTATATTAAAATTAAAACTAAAACAAAACCATAAACAAGCTCAACTGTCATAACACTAAGTACAATAACTATTAACTAATACTAAACCTATTAACATAAACAAGATTTGTTATGCGAATATTATGTAAAATGTGTGCACGTAATTTGAAGCATAACCTTACATGTAATACAATATGATAAATTTAATGCACACTAAAGAATAAGACAATTCAAGTGTTAATGTGTATAAGAGTAATTGACTACAAGTTACCAATGTGTTATACACAGTAATCTGTGGAAGAGACATAGTGTAAATTAAATCATAGCAAACTTAAACATTGAACATACTCAGAAAAGAAAAAAAAGAAAATCAAGGCGTACATATAATATAATATGACTATCAGCGCTAACAATGTGTGACATTCCAATATGCAATGACTTAAAGTTGAAATAGCACAAAGTTTCCTATTAGTGAATAATTTAAAAGAAAATCAGTTCACAAAATATATATATTTCCACTATTTAATTAGTAAGATAAATATAATGCAAAGTTAGTGTCACAGCACTCACACATGCCTATTATATTATTAGTCTAACAGCTTAACATATATTTAGTTTAAATTTTAGTGTAGAGAACAAAACAAAAAGATATTTTACTATCATATTTAAGTGTTTCAAGATAATGTGCTTTGCTTTGTTGATAAAATTATATGTAAGGTTAAATAAACTGCTGGATACACCTAAAGATATTAAATATGTATAAATTATGTATGTTTACTTTAGTTATGGATACTTTAACAGTAAATAAATAGGACAAATGAAATGTTTCTTGGTAATTCAAAGTGCAAAATTTAACTACTAAACCATTGTGATCCAGCACATGAAATTAGTGGAATATATTAATAAATTTTAGTCTAAAAATTAAACTGTACTATAAAATGCTATATAAATGAAATTCAGTAGTGCTTTTCTAGATTACTTTTTGGTTGCAAATCGTCTAGTCTTCATAGCATTTCCTGATGCCACCGAAGTTGGCTGTAGACGCTGCACTTTTTCCAACTGGACTGGGGGAGAAGCATTAGCCACTTGTTTAACCTGGGATGTACTTGGAGGTTCTGCAGCGACAGAAGATAAATTTATATCTGGAAATTTAGCTATTAAGTCATCCAACACTAACTGCGAGGTGATTTTGGCACGTCCCTCAGCTAGTTTAATATAAATTGCACCATCATAGGACCAGACATTCCTCATGCCGAAATGATTACGGGCATTCTTAAGTATAGATTGCCTGGTTTTAGTCAAAAACTCACTTACAGAAATAGCTGAACCTTTCAATTTCGACTTTGCATTCCAAACTTGATTTTTTATATGATGTTCACAAAAGTACACAATGACGGGCCTTGGTCGGTTTCCAAGTGGAGCATTAAGTCTGTAGCACTGTTTAATGGATGAGTTATCAATATTAGTGAGGCCCATTTTCTCATGCAGCAATGGCAGAACTTTTTGCATAATGTTTTCATTCGAGGACTCCACTATGCCGTTGAAAACCAGAGCTTTCCTTCGTTTATGCATATTGATGTAGTCCAAACTTTCAACACACTCCTGAATCTGTTGCTGCATAAGTTTCAACACAGACGAGACCAATTCCTTGAAGGTGTAGTATTCATTTTGTAGTTGCAGAAGTGTTAAGTTAGTAGGATTTGATGCAGCCTTTAGCCTGTCTTCAAATTCTGTCATCTTATGTGTCAGGCTCCCTACCAACTTCTTCTGCATGTTCTCAACTCCAGAGAGATTCGCCATCGGAAAACAACCACTTGTTTTGTGAAAGAGGTTTCGGAGGGATGGTGTAGTGACGGCGTATACAGATTTACATCAACTGAGTATAGAACACTTTTTCACTTTTTCAAAAATGCGTAAATTTATGCTAAAACTGTTTGTAGATATGAACAAATAATGTATGTATACTAATTTAACGATTAAAATAAAACCCAAAATCAAACTCAGCTGTTACTTTATTCGCACCTACCGTCAGTTAGTGGTAGGGATGATAAAACTCGTTGGTAAATAACGTGCTACCGCATTCTTCGTTTTCCAATGTAACAAAATGAACGTTCTATCTGGTTATATAATCAGTACCTTTGCATATGAGACCTACATTGCATTGACACCTACGTCAAAATTCAAATTCAAAACAAGAAAAGCACACGATACTCAGAAAATAATAAGGATTTTGATATAGTTTATTATAATGGTACTTTGATTATAATCGTATTGCAATGATGTTCGATAGTAAGCAAAATAAAATCTCGTTACAACAACGTCATTCACATCATCTTTGAAATGACTAAACTGGTGACTAACAGTCCATTTAAAGGCCAATTGTGTATCGGTGATATAAGAATTGCAAATACTATTGCCTCTTCGTTTCAAAATAATTACATAAAAGGTTTTTGGGCTTGAATCTTCTTACAGTTTTATTTAATGAATTGTTGGTCATATTATCACTACACAGTATAAAACAAAGTCGTCCCGCTGTCGGTCCCTATGTATGCTTAGATCTCTAAAACCACGCAACGGATCTTGATGCGGTATTTTACTAGATAGAGCATTGCACACGTGCGAATCTCGGGCGGGTCACTAGTTCAAGATAAATGAAATAATGATGTTCCAATTCGTTTAGTTTTTTGGCTTTCCGAAAAGGTTTCTTATCTTCGATTTTTTTTACCTTATTAACCACGTGTAATAATTTAACATCACATCACATCACTTCAGCCTGTTTGAGTCCACTGCTGAACATAGGCCTCCCCCACAGACTGCCATGAAGTACGATCCTGAGCCACCTGTATCCATCGACTTCCCGCACATTTGCACAGGTGCGAAGGCCAGTACGAGGCTGCCACTCGAGAACCTTTCTTCCCCAACGGTTATCGGTTCTACGAGCTATATGGCCGGCCCATCGCCATCAATGTTATCTTTGGTACCTGTAACAGTATTTGTAACACTCTAAACTTTATTGCACTTGGCTATTACTATAATTACGAATAGTTATTAACATCATTTTAATAATTGTTTATTTAAAAATTTATAAATTAAATTTAATATGTATCTAATCTGTACACAAGTACCTCTTAATTTCCATGGATTTAAATGTAGTTCAACCTGCCCACTAAATATCAGGCACGTCCAGGTAAGTGCCATGGCCACACATAGGACCGACGTGAAATGAAACTATTATACTTTAGCGTTTCACTTTTTGTGTGGTTGTCGGGCCTAATGTTTTATTAAGATTGTCAACGTATCGGAACATAAAAGTTTCTTTGTAAATTGATTTTCTCCTACATCGGGAAAGCGAAAAGTGAAATTAAAACCGTTAAAAACAAACACCGATTGTTTATAACTCTACATGACTGTAGTGATTGTGTATACGACAATTTAAAACTCCCGTTACGATAGATTTGGTAGAATATAAATCGTCAATAAAGCCACCAAAATGCAACAAGGGTTATTGAAACAAATAAAATGTTAATTTCAAAAGGGAATTTAGGTGTTTTAGCAACGCCTTGATATTCAATTAAGTCCTTAGACAGTACATCCTAAGACTTCAGATACATCATGACTACATAGTATAAAACAAAGTCGTCAAGCTGTCTGTCTGTCCCTATATATACTTAGATCTTAAAAACGACTTAAGAGTGATTCAAGAGGAAGATTTGTGTGTATAATACACGTATAATATAGTAGAGAAACACTGATCATTTTAGAGGTTTCTAATGCGATGTCGAAAGTTTGTTTTCGACATTGCGATTTACTATTGCAACCGTGCGAAGCCGGGGCAGATCGCTAGTACATATTAATTCGGGAATTACGGTAGCCTTCGATCTGAATTTAATTATATTGAATTCGGTAACTGATATCAAAATTAAACTCGAAAACTATGTAAATTAGTGTTCTTAAAAAATTACAAACTAAATCATACATTTACATACGAATATTCTACAAAATCGTACATATTTGCTGGGTTGATGGGAATAAAATTGATTAAAGGTGATTCATCATGCATGGTAGCCTGTTTTAAATTGGCAGTGATAACCTTTATGTACAAGACATGTTTGTAACTAACCATGTTAAGAGCTTTTACTTAAAGATGTAAACAGTGATAATCTAACCTTCGTATTTTGCAATTAATTGCACCAATTTTACCAAAAAATTTTGTATTTTAAATATAAATATAGGAATTTGTATTTAGTAAAAAGTAAAAAAAAGAAAATAACTACCTACTGTATTTGTGTTAAAAATACTAATTACATTTACTTAATTTGATATGCATTTATAGAAATTTCGAGACGAGTGATTTAAAATTTCCTAACAATAGGTGACTATGTGCAAAGAAACCGCGAACAAATTATACCGTAAATGGTTACAGCGCACCATTCATCCGCGAGTGCTTGCGCGGTTCAGACAGTCTGTTGTGTTTTACCGGAATGTCATTAACATTTGTATTGTGTTTCTGAGTTTAATAGAATGGCTAATGTTAACTGGATCCCGCCCGACATAAGCGGTGCCTGTTCAGAAACGGTGGCACCGCTAACGCAATGTTCGCAGACGGGTTTCATGTTTTTAGCGCTGGTCGCCCGCCTTTTTGGGGGATCTGTTGACAATCAACTGCAGCTGCCGAAAGTTAACCCGTACGCGTCAAACCAAGAACCAGACTACGCTTCTGGGGTGAGCAGTGCTTACGGAGTGACAGGGCAATCAGATGACCTTTCCGGGTTTAGCGTGCAACAACAGATTGGACCAGCACTAATTGACCCCGGTCTGGAAACTGGACCGGCCCTCCCAGAACTCGGCCCTGAAGTAAAACAGACCACGGACGCGGTGAAAGTTTATAAAAATAAACAAAACGCTAATCGGTATCCCGGAGATTACGGTTACTCAGAAGCAGCTTTTTACACGGGTCCTGACTTTGAGTTCGAAACCGATACGTTCACACACCCATTTGCTAAATACTACTTCAGCAGTTTACGCAAGTTTGGCGAACGGCGGAGTGACACGGATAGCGATACAGCCGACTCTAAAAAAGCGGAAATTAAAATGAAGAAAAATGGGAAAAGAGCAAAGCGTAGGAGAAGGAGACATGCTCGAGACGTATACGATTTTATTATAGTTGGAGCGGGATCAGCCGGGTGCGTGATTGCTAATAGGTTGTCGGAAGTAAAGAAGTGGAAGGTACCTAATTTATTTTTTTATTAGCCTGGTTCCGTGTTTAAATGTTCATCCATTTTTTATTCCCTTCTTCATAGTTTTTTTTTTCTCTTACACCATTTACAAAAGAATAAAATTACTAAAACATTAATACAAAATATTAAAGAAAGTTAAAAGCTTAAAATCCCTAGAGATGTTAATGTGTAACTATTAGGATTTAAAATTTCGTTGGACAATTATGTTGTAACAAAACTAAATCTCTGATTAAGAATTTACAGAATTCTGTTACAGGTTACTTTGAAGTTCTAATATAAATTTATAAATTTTTACAATCGATTTCTAACAATTTTAGCGCATTAACTTTTTTATAGGTACTTATTTACACAGCCAATATACGCATAATAAAAAAAAAAATTTTTTTTTCTGATAAGGAAACAAAATGTTTAAAAGTTTCGACGTTTAATCAAGAAGATGTCATATGCTTAGGACATAACTTCGTGAAATTAATATACAGTTTTAGTATGTTTCAAAGATTCGATTTTACATAATATACAGTTACCAATGAAAAAAATATTTATTAAGAATACTGCTAATTCTCTTAAGACCATATAATTTCCAAACTAAGTTATTTTCCTTTTTCTTTCTCCTGCCCTTATTTCATATAGGTGATGTCGTCAAAACATAATTATGAACCATTTTGGTGATGGTATGGGCTAGATATCTGAAGTAAAAATTTCTATAGGCTCGTTGGGCAATTTTGGATGAGGAAAAATTCATTAGGAGGGAGGGAAACCACTGAAAAAGTTTAAGACAAATTTTGGTACCTACAAGTTTTCGGGAAAATCTAAATTTGCCCATATCTTTATGTCGTTGACTCAGGACCTTGATTTTTGGGACTATACACCTCAGTACTTCTGGTATAAATTTCAACTTGCTAGGTCCACCCATTCCTGAGAAAATCAAATCTTATAAGGTTTCCGTTACGGAACCCTAAATACCGACTAAATGCGAGTCGGACTCACGCACGAAGGTTTCCATACTGTAAAAATGACAATTATGTCTGTTGTATGGGAGCCCTACTTAAATTTTTTTATTCTGTTTTTTTGTATTTGTTGTTAAAGCGCCAATAGAGATATATCATCTGTAAAAGTTTCAAGTGTCTAACATTCACGGTTCATGAGATACAGCTTGGTGACAGACGTACAGAGAGACAGAGATACATACAAACAGACAACGGAGTCTTAATAATAGGATCCCGTTTTACCCTTTGGGGAACGGAAACCTAAAAGGTGTTTTAAGTTTCCACGAAGAAGTGTACAGAAAGAAAAACTATTTAAAAACTGTTTTAAAAATCAATATTATTTACAATGCGTTCAACATAAAACGAAAAACAGAATTAGATATTATATGTAAGTTGTGCAAATAGTTAGGTCAAATTAGGTTATCACGTTTATTAGATCGATCACGCGAGCTATGGTTGTGAGGTTCTCAGAGTTCACTATGAAGAATAAACCGTGTAATAGTGAAATCTATAATGTTTGCGCCTCTTATGGAACGTGTGGAAATAACAAATAAAACCAAGTAAACTGAAGTGGTGTATTAAACATTAAATTAATAATAATTTTAAAGAACTCTCACCATTTCGATAAATTGACTTCAATATAATTACGTTCGTATTTCGAATTATTGTAGGTTGAAAATACAATTTATTATTTATACAATTACTTTTTTAATTTGTTCATTCAAAAGGAAAAAAATATTTGTTTCACTTTCACGTACATATATATTTATGTATGTACATATTTATGGTAATATTACCATGATATGACATTAAAATTTGTAGAAAATATATAAAAATATGTATATCGTGTTGTTACATAGTTTTGTTTTACATTCATTATTACTACGTATATATTATACGTATTTTTTATACTATATTACAAGAAATAAACGTATCAGCAACGTATACAATAAATTATATTTAACCTGTTATTCATGACGATTCAATAACGATGTTTCCGGTAATGTATTATTGCAATTTAAATTGCTTTTAACTGAGGAACGATCTCTTCTCTTTGTAAGTCACACCAAAGCTACATGTGTTTCGGCGTAGCAATCTCAAGAATTCGTGTATGTTCTTCACACATGAGCAATAAATTCTTTTGTAAAGCATGCTCTAAAATGTTTTATGGCCACGTGAGAATTGCAACCATTGATATTTCTTGGGAACATGCATTAAAATTTCTACTTTACGTTCCGCCCGCAACAATATATGCTGTCAGTGTTGTGGGAATTTTTTTCTTTGTTGCACTGAGATACATTGTATCATTATACCTTTATTTTTCAGATAAAATTACAACTGATTACTATTGAATATTAATAAAATTATTCTTCTTAGTCATCATCGTTATTGACCATTGAATTGGTTGTGGCTCTTGCGAGACTTTTCCATATAGTTCTGTCGAAGCACTACGTGTGCATACAGTAAGGAAGTGCTTCTTGAACGATTTAATTAGCACTGTTCATCTTCTCGGTGTACGGTCATGAGAACGTTGAACTTTTACTCTTACTCGTACCATTTATCGTTCCCGAGGGTTTGCAAATACGTTGACAACCTTTTTGAAAATTGGGCTCCAGCTGTCTCACTCACCAGACGAAGCATGAAAGTATTATTATATTTCCACTTTACGCTGATCTTCTGTGAGGTCGTGGTACTTACACGGACGAGCCTGTCTATTCGAACAACAGCTGAGGCTGCTGCGTGACCCTACCACAGTTATAATTCTCAACAAACGTCTCCTGAACCACCAATGGCGTCATTATATTTTTTAAAAAATATTTTTGATGGATCTTCGACGTATCAGTTTTATACATGAAAATAGAAAATATTAAACATCTCTATGTGCGATACAATGTTTTACTTATGCGGCGATCTTTTCATGTCTTCATGAGCGCAGCAGTTTGTGTTACAGTAAATTGCCTTTTGATTCTACTTACTATTATTATTTTTATTCTATTTACAACTACTAGTATTTTTAATTGATTATCCTTGGTAAATATAACCCCCAAAAATTTCATAATTGCTTATTTGAGGTGGGCCACGCAACAGTGTACACTGTTGCACGAATGCGCAGATCCATCTGGATAAGTAGCACAGCAGACCGGCAAAGTAGAAGTGTACTTCTGCGCTTCGTCTGGTGAGGGAGGTAGGTGGAGCCCACTTTATTTAAAGGGGGCAATGCATTTGCATCCCTACGGGTGCTGCAAATGTCCACGTATGGCAGATATCACTTAACATCAGGTGAACCGCCAGCTCGTTTGCCATTTTTACATAAAAAGGCGAGGTCATTGTAATTGTTAGTCTTTCAATTCATATCCGCAATTTTGGTTTTATCCAGTTTTATGAGGAGGCCAATTGGAGCTGATTACTTATTATCAAAAGCGATAGAAATGGTTCTTTGTCTCTTGTGTAACGTCGAAAGAGTTAAAGGTGATAAAAGATTTCATATCAACCGAATTCTTATTTAAACGTCTATAGCCCGTGCTTTTTTATAATCTGTCGTTTATTGAGATTCTACGGCTCCAGCGATTTTCATAAAATTTAGTATGTGCGTAGATTCGGGGGCGAAAAACGGTCTAGCTACGTTCCATTTTTAGAAAATGTCCTTTTATCCCTGTTTTCAGGGAATGATTATATTGAATTTGAATTGAATTTAATGAAACATTAGGTCCGTGGGGGCACATCAATTTTTTTTAAAAGTTTATGTCCTAGGCTTAACGCTGCGGCTGGTGACAAGAGAGCTGATTCTTTTCTCGCTCAAAGGTTAAGCATAACTATAACAGCGAGAAAATGCAGCTAGCGTTCTTGGCACCATGCCGCGTGGATTAGGTTTATTAGATAATATGTAATTTTAGATAGATTTAACCTTGTAAATATTAGATCAATAAAGATTGTAAATACTTGTCAAAAAAAAATAATGAAAATATCATTCGAATATGACAGTAAATTTCGCCGCAAAATAAATATTATAATAGCTCGGTCGGTAATCGGGCGGCCCCAAAACAGACGGCCGCGGTTCGTATCACGATCGATTTTTTTTTACTGTTTTTTCTATACCAGATTATTTTTTTTATTTCCAAAATACATAATTTACCAAAAAAAAAGAGCAAAGCTCGGTCCTCGAGGTATTTATCACTGGAATAAGGTTACTGCTTAATTGGAACTTTAAAAAAAACATAAAAATATGGTCATGTGGTGGACTATGCCCCAATAGCCTTTGTACAGAGTAGGCTTTTGTCCAGTATTTGGACATGTAAAGGATATTATTCAGCTTTTACTTATTTTGTTTATGAAAGTTACTTAAGTAAAAATTTTAGTTAGATTATGCTAAAAACAATATGTTAACATATTAATATAAAAGTTAAAATAATGTAGATTTGTTAAATATATGTGACTAAGCGATATTTTCTTAATATTAAGAACTTTTACTTATTATATTATTTGCATTTAGATTCTGTTGATTGAAGCTGGTCCAGAGGAACCAGACGTCACGAGTGTACCGAGTTTGGCGCCAACACTTGGAAGATCTAGTATCGACTGGATGTACAGAACACAACCAGAAGAATTAACGTGCAGAGCTCAGTTAGGTCAAACATGTGCATGGTTAAGGTAAGCAATTAATAAAAACACTACTGCAATGCATTTTTCAGTCAAAAAACTTGTTTTTTATTAAATACAGGTATACATAAAACATAGGGTCATAGGATAGGAAATGTCAACATAATATTTTAAACTAATTCGTAAGTAATTTTCATTGTATATTCAATCCTGTTAATATTTGTGCTTAGCAAATAAATAAATTGCTAGTTAAAAAAGTATCAAGAGGTAAAATAATAAAGTCACTCATTAAATCAAATTTTTCAGTGGTCGTGTTATGGGCGGTTCAAGTTCAATAAATTATCTAGTATATATGAGAGGTAACAGAAAAGACTACAATGATTGGGCAGCTTTAGGAAACGAAGGGTGGAGCTACAAAGATGTATGCTTTCCAGTCTTAATTACAGTAAATTTTACCCTAAAGAACATAAAAATATAAAATTTCTTTTACAGGTTCTTCCGTATTTTATAAAGTCAGAAAATAATCGTGATATAGAAGGAAAAGATAAACGATTTCACGGTGTTGATGGATTCTTGACAATTGAAAGATTTACCGCTATTGATAGAAATATACCGATGTTGATATCGGCATTTAATGAAAGCGGTTTACCTCTTGTTGATTTTAATGGTGACAATCAAATAGGTACTATGACTACTCAAACAACTTCAGAAGATGGAAAAAGAATGTCTATAAACAGAGCTTTTATAAGGCCAATTAGAAAGAAAAGACACAATTTACATATTCAGACAAACGCGCAAGTTATCAAAATTGAAATTGAACGGACGAACCTCAAAGCGTATGCAGTGAAATATTTAAATAATGGGGTAGTGAGAAAAGCCTACGCCAGGAAGGAAATCGTTATTAGTGCTGGTGCTTTAAACTCTCCTAAAATATTGTTACTGTCCGGCATTGGACCCAAAGAGCAGTTGCAACCACTTGGAATTCCTGTTTATAAAAACTTGAAAGTTGGTTATAACTTGCAAGATCATGCCACAGTTGATGCTTTTTTGATGAAACTTTCAAACAAAACATCGACGTTGATAAAGAGTAATCAAATTTTAACAGAAATTTTGAAATTCTCTAAGTCAAAGTTTAAAGATGGTTTATTGGCTGCAACTGGACCGCTTCAAATTACCGCATTTATTAGAACTAAGTACGCTGGACATGATAAAACTGTTCCTGACATACAGTTTCATTTCGATGGGCGTAATGGAAACGATTTTTATTCAAACCCAACAATCTACTTAGCTTCAAATGTTTTCCCATTAGCATATTATGACGCTATTAATGTAAGACCAGTTCTTTTATCTCCTAAAAGTAGGGGTTATTTAACTCTGAACAGAACTAATCCAATATTTGGTCAACCGTTAATATATCCCAACTTTTTTACTGACAAAAGGGATGTAAATACATTGATTGATGCACTAAATTTTGCTATTAAACTCGAAAAAACAAAGGCTTTTAAGGAAAATGAAGTTGAATTCATTAAAGTTCCAGTTCAAGCCTGCGAAAACTATAAGTGGGGATCTTACGATTATTTCTTTTGTATCTTAACCAGATACACAGCAACAATTTTTCATCCAGCAGGAACATGTAAAATGGGACCGAAGGGGGATAAAAATGCAGTTGTTGACAATAAACTAAAAGTATATGGCATTAAAAACTTAAGAGTTGCAGATGCATCTATAATGCCTAATATAGTTCGAGGTAACACAAATGCACCGGTGGTAATGATTGGCGAAAAAGTATCTGATATGATAAAAGAAGATTGGATGTTTTGAATATTGTAGCCCTGTTTCAACTTAAAACGAACTTTTTAATGTTCTTCAACTTCAAGTGTTAACATTTAAAGCGGTGATCTAAAGAGTGTCCTACTTTTTAACTTTTCCTATTAAATAAGTCAAGTCATTAGACATTTATTTGTAAATAAATTATTTTACTATAGTCTTAAGTGTTTTATTAAATGAATTGTCTTAAATAATATGTGCGTAAATATTTTGGGGTTTATGTTAGGAAGGGGTGAGTTTCTATTTCTAAATAAAAATGCATTTCGTAGTACATAAAAGTAAATAACCCTATTTTAATTGATTAGAATTTAGACTCCTTATTTTTAATTCACCGTATATAAATTCATTTAGTGCAATAAAATTAGTATTAGTATCATTTATTAAATATTACATACGTATATTTATACAATCACGCCAGTAGTATAAAAGTAAGGATAATGCATAATTTTAAAGTTATTGTCAATATAATAGTATTTACTTAGAATTCATAATATAATATTGATTTTTTGTTTTTACGTGTATATTATACACTGTTAAATGAAATTATTTTACGAATTCTATCGATAGAATTATCGCACTTTGATTAGATTTTTAAATTGCCGACGTTTCGAACCCTTTCCAGCGTTCATGATCACGGGACAGACTCACGTATTAATATCAAAGTTAACGCAAACTACCTTCAATTACTTTATTATTTATTTTCCTTTCGATCTACGCAAAAGGAGATGAATCAATGTGAGGTAATAATTTTATAAATTATAAGAACTGTGAAGGACATTGATGAGGATCAGCATTTAAATATTTCTTTGTATGAATCTCCTTTCTATACACATCGATAAATTCTATATAAAATAGTTTCGTTTAACAGTTCATAATGTAGTGTAGCAAGTAAAGTTAGATTTTTAAATATTATTGAAAAAATATTTTAGGAAGGATCTTAATAATGTTGTCCATTTTTCAGAGGCAAGTCAATGGGAGGGTCGAGTGCAATTAATTACATGGTGTATATGCGAGGAAACAAATTAGATTACGACACATGGGCAGAAATGGGAAACTACGGATGGAGTTTTGAGGAGGTAAGACGCTAACACTATAAGGGTAAGTTGTTAATGTTAAATATTACATCATTGTGGAAAATCGTATGAAAAACGTGAGATTTTATATTTTCCATTAATTTTTTTAAGAGTCTCCCATGTGGACTTATATTTTTTTTTTTATTTGTGTCTGTCTATTTACGTAGGGGACTGATGTATCGCGCATGGATCACAGAGATGAGATATTTGAAAACGGTTTTTTTTTTGTTTTTAATTATTTTCAAACATCAACAGATAAAATGTGAATCTCTAGCTAACTTGGTGTAGAAGTTGGATTAATCATGTCAGTTTTAATATTAGGAAGATTGCAGAAGTTATCTTTTTCTATAGGTATCTAAAACACAAGCGGAATCATACGAATATTATACTTCTTTTGGTGCGTTTTTAAAAAATATAACAGCAATTTTTTTTCGATACGTGGAGTTGGTTGCAAAGCATTTGCTGACAATCGCTTTGCAAGCAACGTATCGAGTCACGCGCCCAGTAAAGTAAAAGTAAAGTATCAGCCTATACATGTCCCAATGCTGAGCAAAGGCCTCCTCAGTACAGAGGGTATCAGGACATAGTCCATCACGCGGCGCCACAATTCAGCACTTGAAATTAACAATTTCATTAACGCCGGCACCGGCGCTCGAACTGAAGTTGCTCGAGTATTTTGAATTAAAGGCGAGCGCCCGGTCACTGAGCTATCACGGCTCAGACGCCCAGAATCTTGACCAACTAAGCTAAGCGACCGATGAACTCACTCGACGCGGAAATCTTGACATTTTAGCAATGCTTGGCGAGTTCTAGTGTGCATACTTTACAGCATACAACAACCTTACAAATTTTCAACGATGAATATTTGAAACGACAAATGTCATCATTGCTCTTTAAAATTCAATTCTTATTTTATCTGAGATCCATTTTTATTTCATTGCTAGTCTCTCCACTTAATACAAAAATTTTAAATTGTAATTTTTTTTGTATACTTTCTTGAAAAATGCAATAGAACGAACGTAGATAGATGTCAAGATTTTCGGTAAAGCGTCTGGATGTGAAACCAGAAGACGCTGGTTCGAGATCCAATTTTTTAGTTCCTTTTCTTTTCTTACATTGGAGAAGTATACATTTATACGAATTGTCTATGATCAGATTGCTTTAATTTTGTTTGATAATAAATTCGGTCGTACTTTTTATATTTTTACTATAACTCAGCATTTAATTAAAATTAGCTGATAATATTTTTTGCATTTAAAAAAGTGTTTGAATAAAATTAGATACAATTTTCTATTTTTAATTTTCAGGTATTACCGTATTTTAAAAAAGCTGAAAACAATCAGGATGTAGAAGCTCATGACAGATTTTACCACTCTACTAGTGGACCGTTAAATGTGGAGAGATTTCCCTATACAGACATTAATGCACTTATGTTGGTACAAGCATTTTTAGAGACTGGTTTACCTATTACAGATTTCAATGGTGAAAATCAAATTGGGACTGATATTGGTCAAACAACATCCAAAGATGGACGCAGATTTTCTGCAAATGTCGCCTATGTACGACCCATAAAAGAAAAGAGGCCTAATTTAAAAATTTTAAATAACGCATTTGTAACTAAAGTGATAATTGAACCCACAACAAAAGCAGCTGTCGGTGTCCAATATATACATCAAGGAGTTTCACGGATTGCGTATACTCAAGGGGAAGTGATCTTGAGTGCCGGAGCATTGAACTCTCCTAAACTTCTAATGTTGTCAGGAATAGGTCCAAAGTACAATTTAGAAAGTCTAAATATCCCTGTACATGTTGATCTTAAAGTAGGACAGAATCTTCAAGACCATGTTACCACAGATGTCTTAGTTATACAACTTTCTAATAAAACTTCAACGCTAGTAGGTGGTGAACAACTAGCGTATGAAGTATCCAATTATCATCAACAATATCCTATGAAAAAGGGCCCTTTGTCAGCTACAGGAACTTTAAATGCAATTGCTTTCATTAAATCTGAGTTCACTGAAGACGATGCTCCAGATTTACAATTTCACTTCGATGGACGAAACGTACAAGAGTTATATTCCGATCCCACGAATTATATAGCGACAAATATATTTCCTCTAGCGTTTTACGACGGATTGGCTGCCAGGCCTTTGTTACTGACGCCTAAAAGTAAAGGGTTTATATTACTCAATCACACAGATCCTGTTTTTGGCCAACCGTTAATTTATCCTAGATTTTTTACAGCCAGAGAAGATTTAGACAGATTATTATATGGCATGCGTTATGTAGTTAACTTAGAAAATACTGAAGCCTTTAAGCGAAGCGGAGCAAGATTCGTTAAAATTGCTATCAAAAGCTGCGAAAATTATGTATGGGGTACTGATGATTACTTTCTGTGTATTTTAATGCATTATACTTCAACGATATATCACCCTGTTGGCACCTGCAAGATGGGTCCAAGCTGGGATCATGAAGCTGTTGTTGATCCTAGGCTAAAAGTTTATGGAATTGAAAAATTGCGTGTAATTGATTCGTCAATTATGCCTAAAATAATACGAGGTAATACAAATGTACCAACCATAATGATTGCAGAAAAAGGAAGTGATATTATTAAAGAAGATTGGCTATTACATTAAGTTTTAAGGGAAAAATAATTATTGTCTAATTATAAATATTTTCTTACAATAGATTATACATAAAGTGAACCTAGTATAGTACCCACTAGTAATGACTTAAGTTGTTATTTTATGGTGTACCTTACCATATTTATACATAAAATATGATATAAATATGCGTATTTCGATGGTAACATTGTTCATGTCCAAAAGAGACATTATTGTATTGATGAACATTTTGATGAACTACATGCATTACTAAAGTTTAACTCACGGTGTATAAGTATAATGAATTTGAAGATTTATCTTCTTCCTCTAAGTTTTTTCATTAGAAGGCAAATCGGCTCAGGGTTGAGAATTTTTTAAGATTGTAAGTTAATCTTAATAAGTCATAATTTTAATTTCAGATTTAATTCTTTAATAAATACAACGTAACATATTTTTTATTTTATTATCTTCCTAATTTTAATCGAAGCAGTGTAAATCAGATTTTGTTTGAACGTGCTAAATCGTTACCCTAAGAAACAAAACTCTTCTTAGCAGACCACTTAGCTAGTGATTTATTGGTTCCGTCTTCGCGAGTAAATATCCATTTTGTGGGGCAAAGAAAGCTTCAATGAGACTACGCCGTAGATAAATCTCATTTCGTCACCTTTAAAGGGTTAAAATTTAATAAATATAATACATTTATGGAAATAAAATTGTGATAATAAATAATACTCATCTTCTCTTACTTGCTCGTACACTTAGTAATAAAAATTAAAGTGCATACATTTCTGAAAAGCAAAATCTCATCCCGAGTTGCAAATGTGTTCCTAATTTGGTTACGTATGAGAATATGTTAGCAATATATAAATGGTCCACCATTTACTTACGGTGAACCAATTCTCAGTATTGATTTGAAAAGCAAAATTATGGATGCGACGTAAAGCTATAAATATATTGCAGTAATGTTTAGTAGGTATTATCGGCCTTTGGTAAGGACGACCTCTTTAGAGAATAGGCCTTTGCCCTACAGTGGGCAATTATAATATCAAATTTATAGGGCTGTTACATTACTTTTTACTTTTTTATCGATTTTAGATTTTTTTACGGTGGTGTAAACGTATCCAAGTTTACTCTCATATTGTCTTTCACTAAAATCTGAAAAAAAAAACTGAAATTAATACCCTCACCACGGCACATCAGCGATATCGTACATTTCCAATTAAGACGAGTTATAAATAGATGAAAAACTATTAAAATTTGTAGAAAAAGTAGGTACGTCATACGTTTACGAATACGACACGATTGCACTTTAAAAAAAAATAAGAGATGGAATACTAGTATAAGCTTGTTCCTATAATAAATAATACATTAGTGTTATAAAAAATTCTAGTACTACTAATATACCCGCGATTTTGTTTGTGTAAATTCATGAAATAAAATTAACATTGATTCCCATTACGTGTATAGTTTTTATGAACAATAATTCTTAGGTATATAGTACAGATATATATCTTATATTTTTTACGATTAAAAAATTTTACAAACAGTAATGTTCAATTATTGTTCAAAAAAATTATTCAGAAACAATGGCAGAATATTTAATTTATTTAATGTACTTTAAGTGGGCAATATTTCTGGAAATAAAAGAAAACTTTGAGGATGCTGAATTGTTTTTGTCAGTAATTCATTAAATAGACAATAATTCATTAAGGATAGAGTTCTATAGATTGACCACGCGAAACGCAAATGAAATTTGGTCAACGTCTGCGAGTCTGAGTCTGAGAGAGATATGAAAGCAGTAGCGCATACTTTGCTTGAGTTGCATTAATTCATAAATTGATTATTAATTTTTCGTCATAGATTTCTACCACTGGTATATATGACACCCATGGTGGCATTGCGTTGGCGGTTTGCGTTCAATACGATACATGCACTCATAATACTGTGGTAGGGCCACGCAACAGTGTTCGCTGTTGCACTAATGGACCGGTCCGTCCGGATAAGTACCACGACTTCACAGAAGACCGGCATAAAGTAGAAGTGATGCATTTCTGCGTTTCTTCTGAGTGAGTGAGGTAGCCGGGGCCCACATTATTAAGAGGTGGCAACGCATCTGCAACCCTACGGGGATTTCAAATCTCCAAGCGCAAGCGGTTACCACTTAGCATCACATGAACCGCCATCTCGTTTGCCACTTTCCCACACAAAAAAATAGTATTTATAATTTAAATTTAATGAAACTTTTTTTCTTTCTAGGTCGGTTATCTATTAAAGTTTGTTTTTAGTTTTTTTTTTTTTTTTTAACTATTATTTATTGGAACTGCGTCTAGAAGTAGTATATATTTCTGCGTTGCAAAAGAAACATAAATAATGCAGTAAGATACGACAATTTACCTCAGTACAATAGTCATAAAATAGCATCGATAGCATCCTAATGAGTGCAGTGGCTGCTAGGGCGAGGCAGCAAGATTTCGCCCCGATCATATGACCCGTGTGGCAGAAATGCGAACTTCGACGTGGACTCTTCGAAGAACACACAATCGCCTGGCTCCTCATCTGGTGAAGAATCCTAAACCCGTGGGGGAAACATGTTGACGGATAGCGTGAGATCTAGGACACATGCGGACACATGCAAACGTCGCTGTGCCAGATACTCCCCTACATCAATGCGGTCATTACTTTTTACTTACGTTACATACGAAAACGCCCCTCTTTGTGTTTTGTCAAATTAAATCTAACACATAAATTAAAGTTGATTGTTATGAAAATAGATAGCTAAAAACGCCCTTGCACCGAAAAAAGTTTCAAGTCGATTTCTTGAAACTTCGACTGACTTCATGAAAGGTAATATACTTTGTAATATCTCGTATGAAAGTGAACTTTGTATATTATCAACAATTTAAATGAAGAAATGCTTACAAGGAAGAAAGTATCTGATGACCCGAAGGACGCATTAAATAGTGACGATGTTTCTTGCGATTGTGTTGTGATTTGAATCCCCAATTCCAAAAGAATATTGTGTCAGTTTTTATTCTACACTTTTATTGTTTATATATCTACAGTGTATTTATTTACAAAATATTTATTAACAAAAAAAAACCGACTTCAATTAGAAAATTAAAAACATTGTTATTACTGACATTCAATGATGGCCCTCGAATTTCTCTGGGATGCCATCATCAGATCCGGGTTTCCTTATCATGGTACCACCCTTGGGATATCTCCTTTCCGACAAAAAAGAATCATCAAAATCGGTTCATAAACGACGAAGTTATCCGCGAACGCACATAAAAAAATTATACGGTCGAATTGAGAAACCTCCTCCTTTTTTGAAGTCGGTTAATAATGAAATGAACATTAGTATTTTTGAAAAAAAAAAAAAAGTATCCTAAAATGTTCATTGTTGTTTTCAATTTCACCAACGTATAATTTTTTTTATATTTTACACACTAAAGGTATAAATAGAAGGTGATAAATCACGATTCAACTAATTGATAACGATCAATAAAAGATTTTGCATCGAAAACTCCCTTCTATAAATGTCTTTGTCCATATAAGTTTGTGTCATAAAATACACTCAAATGTCGAAAGTTTGTCTACAACTTTTGCTTTAACATATTCATTGTACTCGAACCATTGGAAATTTGTTTTATTGTCCTGCTTTGTTTGGAAGGTTCACTGTATTGTACTTGATTAAATATAAATATGTTTATAAAATAAATTAGTCAAAAGACGAGATAGATTAATTCATTAACTGAACTTTAAAATGTGCGCACAGACGTCATCGGATATTCACGTCTTTTACGATAATCGGTGCGCTGTCAATACAGCTATTATCAATCTCATCAGGGCGGCTGACTGGCCAATGAAATTGATAATCTTCCCTTAAAATTTCAGTTTAATGAAAAAAAAAATATCGAATAAAAATCATTATCATCATCATTTTAGCCTATTGTCCATTTCTGAATATAGTCCCCACAGAATAAAGTATTGTAGTAAATAAATTTAAAAAATATTTGTCAATTTAGAGTTATTAAAATATTCATTTAAAAAGAATAACTGCGTAGCTTTTTTTAACATACTAAAGATTAGGCCGAATTCGTTGGGTCAAATTCTATCAATTTACTAAACCTTGCGATTTTCATTGAAAAATTACAGTGAATGTAGTTTGACAATTGAACAATAAATTGTCGCCCAAGAGACACTAATTTTGTCTGTCCTTAATAGTAGGCACCTTGCTTAAGCTTATTACATTCTAATATGAACAAACAACAACATTTTAATATGAATACACAATATATCACATCTCATTATTAAACAATGAAAACGGCAGGAAAGTTGTATAACCTTACGACGCTTAAACTTTCTCCAACGTATTTAACGAATATTGAAATGTATTCTTACAGACATGAGAAGAAGTTTTGACAATCCATGTCATTTATATAATTATGTACAGTTCACTGAGAGAGAAAGAGAGCTAAAGTTCTAAAATCACCCGTGCATCTAGCTACTATTCAGAATAGATGGGTCAGGATTTTCTATTAATTTTTAAGTGTGAAATAAAACTAAAACAGATCCCTTTTCACTGAACAGAAGAGAATATTTGGGGTTACCGCATCGGCTTTTATTATATCCAATCGAAAAGTCGTTCAAGTTGATTTCCCCACCATTGGTGTGATAGTGTTCAGTGATTTCGGACAATTAATGCTGTTATGTGATATACTGAATGGTGTAAGATTGGGTGTTTTGTTTTATAATAGAACGAATGCGATAATCTACTACTGAATCTCATTATTGTCAAGAAAAGGGATTTAAAATGTCACGCAGCAGCTTCGGCTATTGCACGAATGCGCAGGCCCGTCCGGAGAAATGCCACGGCCTCACAGAAGACCGAAGTGAAGTGGATGTATGATACTCTCGCGTTTCGTCTGGTGAGTGAGGTAGCGGCTTACTTTTTAAACTCTGTCTTAAATAGTTCTTAAGTGGTTTTTAGATGTTTTTATTCAACCGAGAACAATTGTGTAGTCACTGAGCGTTTTAAATTTTTGGCCAACTGCGACGGTTGTATCTTTATAGGTTCTAACTGGAGCTACTTTACTATTTGCAATAAGTAAATGAACTTACAATGACCCAGAGACTTTGAACGATCGCTATAGCTCAAATTAAATTAAGTGATAATCACTATTATTTAGAACTACTTCATTAATTTTACATACATATCTGGATTATTACTGTGGCAATTTCACAAAAACAATTGCGCAACTGGTTCAATTGGTTCAGTGACTCCTTGTAAATAAGCAGTACCTCCATCTCTGATGCCAATCCAATATCGAGATCTTCAACGAAATAGTCATGACCTCATAGACAGATTTATCTGAAAAAGCAATAGTAAATTGTTTTCAGCATCTACAGGCTAGGTGTGGACGTGATGCAGTTCCGTACGTAAAAGTACATTTATGTCTAACAAGTTCACGTCAGTTCACGTTGTTCAAATAAATGTAAGATTCATGATTCCATTATTATATATTAAAGCACGTATTTCGTGGTTTTTACCACAACAATATGTACCATTATTTATAGCTGTTGATAACACTTTATTTAATGGCAGATAAAGCAATATAATTATCATGTTAAAGGTATGTAATTGTTTGAGTTTCATGTGCCTACGTTGGAGCCTCCTAGAGCACATCATGGTTAATAGAAGCAGATGTTGTTGAAGGTGAATTATAATGAGTATGAAGCAAGCTATCCACTGGTTGATTGCACATACGGCAAGGAGGTGATCTGGATTTATTGGTAGTGTGAACGTATGTTGAACGTATGTTTGTATGCGGTCGTGGTACTTACCCGGACGAGCCTGACCATCCATGCAACTGCTGTTGCGTGGCCCTACCGCAGTTTCAATTTTTCAGATTTCTGACGGTACGTGCATCTTGTTTTGTTATGGACTTTTAGCCTTCAGATTAAACAGAGAAATACCACTTCGTTGGTAAGCTCTTTTGCCTTGCATATTATTAGAATCTGGCAGTATTCTCCCCATTTCTTTTACTCATAAAATTGTATTTTGCTACAGCATCTTTTGTTTCATTTCTCTTTCGCATATCTCTCTTTCTCTTTTGGACTAGATAATAAATTTACTCGTGTCATTGTATGCATTAGCATACATACTTGAAAAGTGCTAGTTACTTGTGGTCCACATATCACGTGGTGCCGGAATACCTTGAATAGCCTTTAGTGAAACATTGTCTTGATACCTATGTGACATTAAGGATGTTTGTATGTTTTCTTCCTGTTCCTAAAGCAAACTGATCGTCATACTAAATATAATATCTTTATATCATATTTTTTAGATATGTACCTGTCTAAATATTAACTATGTTATATATGTATACAGATACATTTATCTACTATGTTTATATAACTGAGAGCTCTCTCTTTAAATTGTTTAACTTTAAATACAATATAAGTTTTATCATGAACTATATTCCTTTTATATGATATAATATGCATTATCATTGTGACAATTAATATCTGAGAGGAAATAATAAATATTTATATTTAGATTATTTATATTTTTGTATGCTCTTATATTGTAAGTGTAATTAATTTTGATGGCTCCGGCGTAGTTTTCAATAGCTTCGGCGCCGGGGGTCGTGGGTTTGATTCCCGCACGGGACAACTATAATTTAATTTTATTCAACCCACACATAATTGTTTTGGATCTGGGCGTCCAACGTGAAATTTATGTTCTTATCTAATCCTGCAATAAGGAAAGTATGCTCTTACTTCTTTCGAGTCAATTCCATAGAATTAGAATTACTCCTCTAATGGAGGAAAATCGCTAGACGTGCGACGACGAGACGCTATACTGTCCACAGACAAAAGGCAGAGTGGTCGTGGCTTCGACTTTGTCGTGGTGTACGACTAAGAAGAAGTAGAAGAAGCATAACTCTGTCCAGCATGGGGCGGGCTGGTGTCTGTTTAATTATTCTGTCCGTTCCCGTGACTGTGTCACGAATCGTCACACTGTGATTTCAACAATTTGATTCAGTCAGCCGGATTCAACACCAATACGAAACTCTCACTTGATGAGTTAGGTAATGTTAAGTGTGTTTTCAAATAAAAAGAAAAAAAATGACTTGCAATGAACCAAAAAAATATGCAATTAAAATAGCATTTCCAATTGCCATCATCAACAATATGTGTAAATATCTTAGTTAACGTTACTTACTAATTTAAAGATGTGCAGCAAATTCTATAGGTGCAGTAATGGATCCGCTTCAGCAGAGAAGTAGAAAGCTAAGTTGAGTTATTAGAAACTCGGCATGTTAAAAGACAGCCAATGATTTTTCTATGTTACAGTCTTATTTTCTCCCATGGGAGTGGTAGATGTGATGTTCCTTAAAAAACTCCCCCTAAACTCGCCGCAAAATTCGTGGCAAAATGAGCGCATTATTTCACAGTGGTTGAAAAGCTATATGAGAACAAATGTTCCTAAGTGAAAAGAACTAAGCGGTCGTAAGGCGACGATATTTTAATGCGACGTAACATAAATCTTTGCGGTACCCTG